CTGAGTCAATGCCACTGCATAGATTGCCCAGCTTACGAGCGGGAATCTGAGGAAGTTGCGTGCAGCTTTGGGCGTTTGGCAGTGCAGCTGGTGAGCTTGGGCCTTTGGCAGCGTAGCTGGTGAGAACTGTGAATAGTTTTGGTGAACCTTCCAAAAGGGCTGTTTAACTCTCCAGATCTTTGTCCATCTCCCCTTCGGTACATACGAGACCCTGTGCAGGGGGGGGTCTCACTTGGACCGTTAAAGGCTACACCTTTTGATGGCACGATCTGGGGGGGGCCGTACAATGATTGGGGGTTTTCACCATGTTTTGTTTCACCAAGCCACTTTGGTATAATTCATGCAATAATAGATGATTAACATAGTCATCATCACTAATTACTTTGGCTCAAGTGGAGTAAAAGGTACTTCACTTGCTTTGCGTAATTAAATTAATTAAATTAATTAAATTAATTAAATTAACTAAATTAATTAAATTAATTAAATTAATTAAATTAATTAAATTAATTAAATTAATTCAATTCTTTAAATTAATTAGATTAATTAGATTAATTAAATTAGTTGGTGAAAAACGGCCAAATGTGTCAAAATAGTCAAAAACGCCTAAATTTGCCAAAACCGCCAAATTTGCCCAAAATTCACCAAAATTGTAAAAAAAATGCAAAATTTGCCAAAAAAAAATCAAATTTTGCCAACGGGCCAAATTTGCCTTCAAAATCTCTTAAATTTCGGAAAATCTTCAAAATTGCCAAAAATGGCCAAATTTGCCAAATTTGTCCAAAATTGCCAAAATTGCCTAAGTTAGCGAAAAACGGCCAAATGTGTCAAAATAGCCAAAAAAAAACCTAAATTTGCCAAAACCGCCAAATTTAAATTCTTTAAATTAATTAAATTAATCAAATTAATTAAATTAATTAAATTAATTAAATTAATTAAATTAATTAAATTAATTACATCAATTAAATTAATTAAATTAATTTAATTAATTAAATTAATTTAATTAATTAAATTAATTAAATTAATCAAATTAACTAAATTAATTAAATTAATTAAATTAATTAAATTAATTAAAATTATTAAATTAATTAAATTAATTAAATTAATTAAATGAATTAAATTAATTAAATTAATTAAATTAATTAAATTAATTAAATGAATTAAATTAATTAAATTAATTAAATTAATTAAATTAATTTAATTAATTAAATTCATTTAATTAATTAAATTAATTAAATTCATTAAATTAATTAAATTAATTAAATTCTTTAAATTAATTAAATTAATTAAATTAATTAAATTCTTTAAATTAATTAAATTAATTAAATTAATTAAATTAATTCAATTTAAATTAATTACATTAATTAGATTAATTAAATTAGTTGGTGAAAAACGGCCAAATGTGTCAAAATAGTCAAAAACGCCTAAATTTGCCAAAACCGGCAAATTTGCCCAAAATTCACAAAAATTGCAAAAAAATGCAAAATTGGCAAAAAAAAATGAAATTTTGCCAAAGGGCCAAATTTGCCTTCAAAATCCCCTTAAAATTTGACCAAATTTCGGAAAATCTTCAAAATTGCCAAAAATTCCCAAATTTGCCAAATTTGTCCAAAATTGCCAAAATTGCCTAAGTTAGCGAAAAACGGCCAAATGTGTCAAAATAGCCAAAAAAGCCTAAATTTGCCAAAACCGCCAAATTTAAATTCTTTAAATTAATTTAATTAATTTAATGAATTTAATTGAATTAATTAACTTAATTAATTTAATTAAATTAATCAAATTAATTCAATTAATATAATTAATTTAATTAATTTAATTAATTTAATTAATTTAATGAATTTAATGAATTTAATGACTTTAATGAATTTAATTAATTCAATTAATTTAATTAATTAAATTCATCAAATTAATTTAATTAATTTAATTAATTTAATTAATTTAATTTAATTAATTTAATTAATTTAATTCATTTAATTAATTTAATTAATTTAATTAATTTAATTAATTTAATTAATTTAATTAATTTAATTAATTTAATGAATTTAATTAATTTAATTAATTTAAATAATTTAAATAATTTAATCAATTTAATTAATTTGATTAATTTAATTAATTTAATTAATTTAATTAATTTAATTAATTTTATTAAATTAATTAATTTAAATTTGGCGGTTTTGGCAAATTTAGGCTTTTTTGGCTATTTTGACACATTTGGCCGTTTTTCGCTAACTTAGGCAATTTTGGCAATTTTGGACAAATTTGGCAAATTTGGCCATTTTTGGCAATTTTGAAGATTTTCCGAAAGGGATTTTGAAGGCAAATTTTGCCGTTTTGGCAAATTTAGGCGTTTTCGACTATTTTGACACATCTGGCCGTTTTTCACCAACTAATTTAATTAATTTAATTAATCTAATTAATCTAATTAATTTGATTAATTTAATTAAGTTAATTAATCTAATTAATTTGATTAATTTAATTAAGTTAATTAAATTCTTGAAATTAATTAAATTAATTAAATTAATTAAATTCTTTAAATTAATTAATTAAATTCTTTAAATTAATTAAATTACTTAAATTCTTAAATTACTTAAATTAATTAAATTCTTTAAATTAATTAGATTAATTAGATTAATTAAATTAATTAAATTTGTTGGTGAAAAACGGCCAAATGTGTCAAAATAGTTAAAAACGTCTAAATTTGCCAAAACCGCTAAATTTGCCCAAAATTCACCAAAATTGCCAAAAAAGGCAAAATTTGCCAAAAAAAAATCAAATTTTGCCAAAGGGCCAAATTTGCCTTCAAAATCCCCTTAAAATTTGACCAAATTTCGGAAAATCTTCAAAATTGCCAAAAATGGCCAAATTTGCCAAATTTGTCCAAAATTCCCAAAATTGCCTAAGTTAGCGAAAAACGGCCAAATGTGTCAAAATAGCCAAAAAAACCTAAATTTGCCAAAACCGCCAAATTTAAATTCTTTAAATTAATTAAATTAATCAAATTAATTAAATTAATTAATTTAATAAAATTAATTAAATTAATTACATCAAATAAATTAATTAAATTAATTTAATTAATTAAATTAATTTAATTAATTAAATTAATTAAATTAATCAAATTAATTAAATTAATTAAATTAATTAAATTAATTAAATTAATTAAATTAATCAAATTAATTAAATTAATTAAATTAATTTAATTAGTGAAATTAATTAAATTAATTAAATTCATTAAATTAATTAAATTAATTAAATTAATTAAATTAATTAAATTCATTAAATTAATTAAATTAATTAAAATAATTAAATTCCTTAAATTAATTAAATTAACTAAATTAATTAAATGAATTAAATTAATTAAATTAATTAAATTAATTAAATTCATTAAATTCATTAACTTAATTAAATTAATCAAATTAATTAAATTAATTAGATTAATTAGATTAATTAGATTAATTAGATTAATTAAATTAATTAAATTAATTAAATTAATTAAATTAATTAAATTAATTAAATTAATTAAATTAATTAAATTAATTCAATTAATTAAATTAATTTAATTAATTGAATTCTTTAAATTAATTAAAGTAATTAAATTAATTAAATTAATTAAATTAATTAAATTAATTAAATTAATTTAATTAATTGAATTCTTTAAATTAATTAAATTAATTAAATTAATTAAATTCCTTAAATTCTTTAAATTAAGTAAATTAATTAAATCTATTAAATTAATGAAATTAATTAAATTAACTAAATTAATTAAATTAATTAAATTAATTAAATTAATTAAATTCTCTAAATTAATTAAATTGATTAAATTAATTAAATTAATTCAATTAATAAAATTAATTAAATTAATTAAATTAATTAAATTAATTAGATTAATTAAATTCATTAAATTCATTAAATTAATTAAATCAATTAAATTAATTAAATTGATGAAATTAATTAAATTAATTGAATTAATTGAATTAATTAAATTAATTAAATTAATTAAATTCATTAAATTAATTAAATTAATTAAATTAATTAAATTAATTAAATTAATTTAGATTAATTAAATTCATTAAATTAATTAAATTAATTAAATTACTTAAATTAATTAAATTAATTAAATTAATTAAATTAATTAGATTAATTAGATTAATTAGATTAATTAGATTAATGAAATTAATGAAATTAATTAAATTAATTTAATTAATAAAATTAATTAAATTAATTAAATTAATTAAATCAATTAAATTAATTAAATTAATTAAATTAATTAAATTAATTAAATTAATTAAATTAATTAAATTAATTAAATTCTTTAACTTAATTAAATTAATCAAATTAATTAAATTAATTAGATTAATTAAAATTAAATTCATTAAATTAATAAAATTAATAAAATTAATTAAATTAATTAAATTAATTAAATTAATTAAATTAATTAAATTAAAATTTCAACAATTTAACTAATTTAATTAATCTAAAAAAGTTAATTAATTTAATTAAATTAATTAAATTAATTAAATTAATTAAATTAATTAAATTAATTAAATTAATTAAATTAGTTAAATTAATTAAATTAATTAAAATAAAATTTCAACAATTTAACTAATTTAATTAATCTAAAAAAGTTAATTAATTTAATTAATCTAATTATAATTAAATCAAAAGACAGAAAATCGGAGGAGAGCAAAGCAACAAAATAGTACCTGAAGGTCCCTCGATCATATATATATAATTTCATACATCTGTATTTTGCTTGTATCTCCACACATGCTTGATAGATGCGATTATAATTCTCGTCTGACACTAAAATACGTGTTGCATTATTTGTCCAGCCACAGATAATACTAGGAATGCTTTCTTTTCAGGTACTGAAACTGAGGATGAGATTCCTCGTGAAATGATCTCTACAAAGGATAAAAACGTAGACAGTAGATATTTATGTAATTTTATACATTTAGGAAACCAATGTGACGTAGAGGGCAGCGGCAAAGTCAAAGCAACAATGCCTGAGCTAGCTTCAAATCATCTTGAAGTCCTTCGACGTCCCATGCGCCAGTAGCGCTATTGTAGTAATCCTCCTACGCATGTCAGGAGTTGAGGCAATCCCCCTTTTACTCACAGTTCAATCAAAGAAGCACCTTCGCCTCTCAAATCTCTCAATGCATAGAAGCCTCCTATTTCCTTCCCTTCGGATCCTTGGAGACTAAGCCATCAACAGCATGAAGCTCGGCAAAAAGGACTTCTGCTTCGGTTGGTGCAGCTTGCGCAGCTTGTGCAGCTTGTGGGGGTCTTGAAGACGAGGCCTTTGCCGCCTTGCCGACGACGCAAATAGTCACACACATTCTGTTGTAAAAAAAACAAAGCGTATATAAATGCAAGTTCTAGAGCGGGGCTCCGATGAAAATGAAGATGATGTTTTCTCCGACAAACCAGCAGACTCAAATCAACACATTTTAATTATCAGGCCATGTTCGCCTAACCACAAATTCATTGGACTAGAATATCAACGAGGAAAAACACAGAGTCTAGTACATGTTGTTTGTTCCAAAGGCATTTGAACACTCGGCACTCCCATCAAACAACATGACATCACCTTGCCTTCGCCAAGCGCAGGTCATCCTTCAAACCGTCCACATCCCATGCACCAGAAGCAGGATCGAAGTAATCGTCCTCACAACATATCCAAGAAGATCTAAACTTTAAGAAGCATCCTGGGTGGACCGAACTACACAGAACACAGGCAACATAAATTTTGGGCGCTTGGCGGTCCTTGCTTGCAGCATCATCCAAAGCAAGCAGCTCTGCAAAAAGGGATTCTCCCTCACCAACCTGTCGTGCTGCGGCCGCTGGTTGCGCAGGTGTTGCAGCTTGCACTGGTCGTGCCGGTTGCACTGGTGGGGCAGCAGCAGCAGCCTTGGCTGTTTGAAGTCTTATAGCCATTCCCTATCAGGTCTCTGCTAGTCGCACTTCCACTCTTCCACATGCACAGTGTACACAAGTCACAATCACCACTGCACGATTGGTGGCAGGAAAGAAGTACGCTTCTTCACAGAACAAGATATCAAATGTAGGCCCAATGGAGGCAAAGACTGAAAGAAAGTCTCTGGAACCATGAGTGGCCATGAGTGGTGTGTTGCCTAAAAGTACTGTTTTACATTGTCTGTAAAGATTGTCCTCAAATGATTCTTCATTCAAGGGGCCTTCGCTAAGCGCAGGTCATCCTTCAAACCGTCCACATCCCATGCACCAGAAGCAGGATCGAAGTAATCGTCCTCACAACATATCCAAGAAGATCTAAACTTTAAGAAGCATCCTGGGTGGACCGAACTACACAGAACACAGGCAACATAAATTTTGGGCGCTTGGCGGTCCTTGCTTGCAGCATCATCCAAAGCAAGCAGCTCTGCAAAAAGGGATTCTCCCTCACCAACCTGTCGTGCTGCGGCCGCTGGTTGCGCAGGTGTTGCAGCTTGCACTGGTTGTGCCGGTTGCACTGGTGGGGCAGCAGCAGCAGCCTTGGCTGTTTGAAGTCTTATAGCCATTCCCTATCAGGTCTCTGCTAGTCGCACTTCCACTCTTCCACATGCACAGTGTACACAAGTCACAATCACCACTGCACGATTGGTGGCACGAAAGAAGTACACTTCTTCACAGAACAAGATATCAAATGTAGGCCCAATGTAGGCAAAGACTGAAAGAGAGTCTCTGGAACCATGAGTGGCCATGAGTGGTGTGTTGCCTAAAAGTACTGTTTTACATTGTCTGTAAAGATTGTCCTCAAATGATTCTTCATTCAAGGGGCCTTCGCTAAGCGCAGGTCATCCTTTAAACCGTCCACATCCCATGCACCAGAAGCAGGATCGAAGTAATCGTCCTCACAACATATCCAAGAAGATCTAAACTATAAGAAGCATCCTGGGTGGACCGAACTACACAGAACACAGGCAACATAAATTTTGGGCGCTTGGCGGTCCTTGCTTGCAGCATCATCCAAAGCAAGCAGCTCTGCAAAAAGGGATTCTCCTCACCAACTGTCGTGTGCGGCCGCTGGGTGCGCAGGGGGTGTTGCAGCTTGCACTGGTTGTTGCCGGTTGCACTGGTGGGGCAGCAGCAGCAGCCTTGGCTGTTTGAAGTCTTATAGCCATTCCCTATCAGGTCTCTGCTAGTCGCACTTCCACTCTTCCACATGCACAGTGTACACAAGTCACAATCACCACTGCACGATTGGTGGCAGGAAAGAAGTACGCTTCTTCACAGAACAAGATATCAAATGTAGGCCCAATGGAGGCAAAGACTGAAAGAAAGTCTCTGGAACCATGAGTGGCCATGAGTGGTGTGTTGCCTAAAAGTACTGTTTTACATTGTCTGTAAAGATTGTCCTCAAATGATTCTTCATTCAAGGGGCCTTCGCTAAGCGCAGGTCATCCTTCAAACCGTCCACATCCCATGCACCAGAAGCAGGATCGAAGTAATCGTCCTCACAACATATCCAAGAAGATCTAAACTATAAGAAGCATCCTGGGTGGACCGAACTACACAGAACACAGGCAACATAAATTTTGGGCGCTTGGCGGTCCTTGCTTGCAGCATCATCCAAAGCAAGCAGCTCTGCAAAAAGGGATTCTCCCTCACCAACCTGTCGTGCTGCGGCCGCTGGTTGCGCAGGTGTTGCAGCTTGCACTGGTTGTGCCGGTTGCACTGGTGGGGCAGCAGCAGCAGCCTTGGCTGTTTGAAGTCTTATAGCCATTCCCTATCAGGTCTCTGCTAGTCGCACTTCCACTCTTCCACATGCACAGTGTACACAAGTCACAATCACCACTGCACGATTGGTGGCACGAAAGAAGTACACTTCTTCACAGAACAAGATATCAAATGTAGGCCCAATGTAGGCAAAGACTGAAAGAAAGTCTCTGGAACCATGAGTGGCCATGAGTGGTGTGTTGCCTAAAAGTACTGTTTTACATTGTCTGTAAAGATTGTCCTCAAATGATTCTTCATTCAAGGGGCCTTCGCTAAGCGCAGGTCATCCTTTAAACCGTCCACGTCCCATGCACCAGAAGCAGGATCGAAGTAATCGTCCTCACAACATATCCAAGAAGATCTAAACTTTAAGAAGCATCCTGGGTGGACCGAACTACACAGAACACAGGCAACATAAATTTTGGGCGCTTGGCGGTCCTTGCTTGCAGCATCATCCAAAGCAAGCAGCTCTGCAAAAAGGGATTCTCCCTCACCAACCTGTCGTGCTGCGGCCGCTGGTTGCGCAGGTGTTGCAGCTTGCACTGGTTGTGCCGGTTGCACTGGTGGGGCAGCAGCAGCAGCCTTGGCTGTTTGAAGTCTTATAGCCATTCCCTATCAGGTCTCTGCTAGTCGCACTTCCACTCTTCCACATGCACAGTGTACACAAGTCACAATCACCACTGCACGATTGGTGGCACGAAAGAAGTACACTTCTTCACAGAACAAGATATCAAATGTAGGCCCAATGTAGGCAAAGACTGAAAGAAAGTCTCTGGAACCCATGAGTGGCCATGAGTGGTGTGTTGCCTAAAAGTACTGTTTTACATTGGCTGTAAAGATTGTCCTCAAATGATTCTTCATTCAAGGGGCCTTCGCTAAGCGCAGGTCATCCTTCAAACCGTCCACATCCCATGCACCAGAAGCAGGATCGAAGTAATCGTCCTCACAACATATCCAAGAAGATCTAAACTTTAAGAAGCATCCTGGGTGGACCGAACTACACAGAACACAGGCAACATAAATTTTGGGGGCTTGGCGGTCCTTGCTTGCAGCATCATCCAAAGCAAGCAGTTCTGCAAAAAGGGATTCTGCTTCCTAGAGAACTGGAGATTGAGAAGACCTCTCTGATTTCAATGTTTTTCAGTGTGATCTGCGAGTTGCAAAGCTGATTTGGCATGGCAAGTCTTTGCAAAGTCAAAGCTTCTGGCCTGTTCCGCCTTGTTCTTGTTTGCAGCAAGGTGCTCAATCAAGTCCGCTAGCATGTGGCCGGCTTGTACATCCGTCCTGCTGCAGACAGAGAAACCCTCAACTTTTGCGCGACCAGGTGAAAACACGCAGGGAATGTTGTTCTGTGGATTTGATTGCATTTGTGTGTTTCTGATTTGTGCAAACATCAAAATGATCCTGTCCTGTCATCAGTCTGCAGTCCTTTTCCCCGCAGCCTTTCCGCAAGCTCTGCCACAGTCCTCAAGAAAGAAGGGCTGCATGGAGGTGACTCTCTGACACGATCTACTGGCACTTCACGAGTGAAACTTGATCCCCGGAGCACGTCTCAGAGCGTATCCAAGTGTTCCCAAGATGATTACAGTTCTTTTGGCTTGAAAATGCTTCATTTGTTTTCAACTTTTAACCTCTCTTGAAATTATCTGCGATTCTAAAGCCAAGCTTCATGGAATCATCTGAGAGGGCACGCCTAGGTCTGACCTGGGTGCCACTTGACCAAGACGTGCTTCTCTCTGCATTGCCTTTTCGGAGTGGACCGAGCCTCTCAGGGTTTTCTGAATGTTTTCAGTACCTGTTTGAGAATGAGAAACTGCCAAGAGAATTTTCTTTGATAGCGACTTGAGCTAGTCTTGTCACCGATAGATGTGCCTCTTGCGTCTCTTCTCTCTCTTATGACCCCCATACCGGTACAACCTGGGTTCAATCCATGCTGGATCCAGCTGCAGAGCAATGCATGCAGCCAGCACAGCCCAAGCGGCACTGCGGCGACGACGCACCATTGGATCTGCTGCAGATCTTTGAGACAAAATTTGATTCCCGGTGAACTCGGTTGAACTGTTTAGATCATCCTTGAAGCTGAGCATCCAACCTCAAGGTAACCAAAGAATCGTCTAACAATGTTCCATGGTTCAATGGTCACCAACGGGTTCCTAACAGTTGGTCAAGTTGGTCAACATGCCTTGCCAGATCCATGGATTTTCTTTGAACCTATTCAACCTCGATCGACCTCGATCGACCTCGATCGACCTCGATCGACCTCGTGATTTCACGATCCCTGCCAGATCGTCACACCTCGCAGCTAAAATGCTGCGAACAAATCTTGACGAGTACGTTGGGTGTACACTGCAGTGCATGGGTCACTGAGGCATGCAGTCTTGCTGATAGAGAAGCTTGAGGAACCACACTTGAAATATCTTGAAATCAATGGAAATTGAGGCTTTCCGTGGGTCATCTGTGGTGTGGCGTGAAAGGTCCTGGGTTTGACACAGACCAGGCCCCTGTCTGACAATCGGCATTGACCTCCTGAGGCCAGAGTCCAAGAATGTCCCCGGCATCCCTGGACCTCCTTTCACTATCTTTCACTATCTTGTTCCATTTTCAGTATGCAGAGTCTCCAGAGTCAGGCAGAATCCATGTCAATCAGAAACAACAAGATATTCAAGTGGGCTGACTCCCAAAGATCTGCCAACCCTCCACCAGCTGCATTTCACCAATTTCGTCTGATTTAGTTCCCAACCCCACCTCACAGAGTCCAAAATCCTTGAAAAGCTGAATCAACACCTTGCCTTAACCGCCACGTAGGAAAAGTGCTGCTGCATCACATTGAAAGCAATGTAGAATGCTCAGAGCCCTATCAAAGTCTCCTTTTTGCGGCTATAGTCTATGTTTTTAGAACTTCACGAGCATGGCCCTTGTCGTATGCTAGATCCTAGCTGCAGGTTCAATGTTCAACAGGCCCTCCACGGACTGAAGCAGGAATTCTTGACTGAAAAGGTGTGTGGTGTGGTCGAGCCTTTTCTTAGGCCAGCACGCAGCAAGGACATGTCTGCACAATCACCGTCTATCCGAAGGGTTCTGCCAATTGCGAAGCCACACAGGCACGAAGAGGAGACAATCTGTATCCGGAAGAGGAGTCACTGCACGTCAAAACCTTCGTCTCACCAGAGCTGTGTTAATTCACCGAAGCTGTGTTGAGCGATGTACTTTGCATCTCATGCTTTGCAAGTCCTTGCCAAAGCTCGAAGAAATGTCAGGAATTCCAGCTCCTTAGACAACAGCAATCTCTTTGCATGTGTTTCCAATATTTTCCAATGACGTTTGACGTCAATGTGACGAGAAGAAACTGAGAGGCCGTGCTCGCAGGTTGTCCTCGTCCCAGTATCTGGCAGAAAGAATAAAGCATCAATGGTAACACTGGTAACATGTAAAGAAACCCTATCTCCATGCTGATCTTGGAGACAAACTCGAAGCCATGCAGAAGCATGCAGAAGCAAGAAAAGGATAGAAAAGGATAGAAAAGGTCGGAAGCACTGGAAGCACTGCGTGAATCATCGTGAATCATCGTGAATCCCACACCAGACCGCAACTTGCCTAAACCAACTTTCTCTGCTTTGTTCGATGTCTGGGACTGCACCAGAGCGAACCTGCCACGTAATGTCAAAATATGTCGAAATGATGTCAACCGTGCAACTAATAGTGTTTGGATATGTTTGTTGAATGCAAAACAAGTAGCACAGTAGCACTGTGTGGGGACAAAGGCCCGACATCGAAAGATCAAAAGAGATCAAAAGAGATCAAAAGAAAGGATGGTTTACGAGAGGATTTAGTGAAGCATGACAGATACTGGGCTCCTAAAGCATTGCATTCAGATTGTTCTGCATGTTCGATACTGTACTAGGTGCTAAATGTTAAGTACGGTCTGGTGACGATTTTGTTGCCTCAAAAAAAAACGTCGTGTATTTTAATGAGAGAGATGAACAGGGCAATGAAAACAAACTTCAAAAGTATCTGCAACTTGTGAAGAGACTTGTGAAGATTGTGGCAAGTTGGGCCTCCCGCTTCAAAGACGGTAGGCTGTACAAAACAAACTGCAGCATCCCGCGCGGATGCTCAAAAGCTTCGCGGGTGATTCGTCCCGAGCCTGAGAAAACTCTGCTGACCACTATACGGACTTTGTAGACATCTGTGACATCTGTGTCCTCTTACACTCTGGTTGCAACACAATACTTCTCCAGGAGACTTCAGTTCAGTGAGGTTTCACAGGACACTTTGTTCCCAGGCACCTTCCAGGTCCCACTGCGACCACAGCTTCACAGCCTCGAGCTTCTCAGGATCTACAGGCAGGGTGGCGCACAGAGCATCAATCACCTGACCCATATGAGACACATCTCACATCATCTCACAAGGATCAAATCACCAAAACATTTCTGCAATATCAGTGGATATCAAGACAACACAGATCAACACAGTGGATCACGGTGTGATTACACAAATGACCAAAGATATCCAAAGATGCCATGTATTCATCTTAACTTCGATGCGTTTGTCTCTCTCTGCTCTCAGGTGAGGTCCAGCCTCACACTTCTCCAAAGCACCTGCAGACTTTAAAAAATTGCCACGTGCTTGGCTGGAGGGGGCACACCACAGCGGCCCTAGTAGCCTGAATCATCATCGTCAATGGCTCGGAACCAGGCAGAGCTGTTCAAACGCACCTGATTAAGCAGAACTAAGGGAACCGAGCAAAAATGAGCAGAACTGAGAGGCATGTTGCACGTGACAAACTCGACTAGAACCAAGATGCAACAAGTCACTAGGGCTTGGCGCATCTGGCAGAGGTTCTGCTCGGACAAATTCTGTTCGACACAAAGGGCAAAGATACCTCCCAGACTGCAGTTGGAACATGTTGGAACATGTTAGAACTTCAAAATTCCAAGAATTCCACCAATTCCACCGACATGCAGTCCAAGAGACGGTGCAGGCGTTGACTGCATGAGCAGCTTGACACAGCCTTCGAATATACAATTTGGATTCAGAAACCAAATTGCACAAACGGAATACTTAGATGTTGGGATGGCATTGGAGAGACAAATGAACACTGAAGCCAGGCACTGTGCCAACCGAAGGAAGTCAATCTCCATGTCACACCCGTCCAATTTTACGCACAGCTATAAATCTATAAACAAGAATTGGGTGTATATCATACATAAATCTATAAACAAGAATTGGGTGTATATCATACATCATTGTCAATGTCATGATCATGAAACGTAATCATATGTATATGTGATATGCATATGTATCTGTGTCTGTGTGTGTGATATATCCATATTATACACACCTGAGATTCAGACTGTGGTGCAAATAGTGCCTACAAGAGCGCTTCTTCCCAAATCTCGGCATCAGCCTCGGCAGCCATGAGTAGGGCTTTGCCGTTTCGCCAGCATCAGAATCTACAGTATGATTTTGGACTTCCGAATAAGCAATTTTCAGATTTTTCAGTCAGAATCAGATGAATCCGGGTCACTGAAATTACAGTGATTTGATGTGATTTGAGCTATGTTTGTCCGTCCATCCGTGAGTCTGCCTGCCAGCCTGTCTGCCTGCCTCTCTCTCTGTCTTTGTGTCTCTGTTTGACATCCACTCATCCCAGGCGTCTCCAAACAAACATCGCATCGAACAACCAAGAAACATACAAACCGTGTCTGAAGGCAGCTCTGCGCAGCAGATGCAACATTCTGCTTCCTGTCCTGCAACTGAAAGGGCGGATCGAGTGCACCCACAACTTGCAGGATTCTAAAGACCAAGATGGAAGATTCAAGAAAGAGCTCTCTGCTCCCAGCCTTTCAGAAAGCTGGCTGAAATTGATCCTGCCTTCGAGTGATTTAAGGATGGAATCGCTGTGAATGGCTTGAATGACGATTTACAAGAAGTTGCCAACAAATCCTAACAATCTAGATGTCTTTGGTGTCAAAAGCCAGCTCTTCACCAAGCTGTCTGCTCTGCTAAACAAACATGAGCACTGTGCAACAGGAAGGATTCCTGGACGGGAAATACTGGAACCTGAAGAAATGTTCCCGAGAGATCCCGGGCTGTAGCGGCTGTACCCTGCCTTGTTGCTTGAGAAGGATGCACGACGCAATGATGGACGACTGGTCATTTCAGTTCCTTCCTTGCCCAGCTTGGTTCAACTTGGGTTCAACTTGGCCCAGACAAGGCAAAAAAAACAAGTTGTCTCAGTGTAACTGCATGAGGCCCGAGCATCCATCTCTAGTTTTGTCCTTAAAAGGGTCGGAGGATCGGCTTACAACTCTACTGAGGTATTGCCGGTATTGCTGTTTAAGTGTGAATACGGGCAAGGCTCGGTATTCCGGGCATCTGAAACTGCGGTGGAATTGCATCCATCACAAGCTCCTGCAAACAGATTTCTGGGTGTCTGAAACTCGACTTCTTTTTTGAATTTGGCGAGTGGCACCAGTGTCACCAGTGGCACCTCTTGAAATCCAAGATTTTGGCGATTTCATTCCGTCCTCGGCACCCTCTCCATCGTCTGCTGTGAGGTCCATCACTTTTGCCACCCTTGGACATGCTGAAATGGGCGCTTTATCCTACCCTCTGTTGTGGGCAAAAGACAGAAAGGTCGAGGGCAACATTCCAAGGATCCTGTGAAACATCATGCATGAAGCACAAGATCCTATGGTAGATTGGTAGATGAGTTTTTGACCTCAAGCAGATTCAGGTCGCAGTTCTGCAGGTGAAAACATGCACGGTGAAAGGTGCTCAGTACATTGTCGCGATGTATTTACTCATGACAGCTTATCATTCTGTACTCACTGCCAGTCTGACCTCAGGTGATATTCTCTCTCCAAAGTTTTGTCACTTTCATCGTTTACTCATCGTCCTTCTTTGACTGGCTCTTGGCTGCTTCACGGAGCACCTCAACGACGTGGCTATTGAGAGTACCTTCAGCATGATCTTGGGCTGTCTGGCCATTCTCATCTGTGGTATGCACATTCGCACCATGGGCAAGGAGGGCTTGGACGCACAGGAGCTGTTGATTCATAGCAGCCCAAATGAGCGCCGTCTCTCCACGGCTAGTTTTGGCTTCGGTGGGACACTTGTGCTCAATGAGACTCTTCACAAGACTCGGGTTGCCGGCCTGCACTGCACTGAAGAGAGCAGTTTGACCATCCTCGTCCTGGTGCTCCACTTTTGCACCTTTTGCGACAAGGAACTTGCAAATCTCCTCACGGCCAAACTGAGCAGCCAAGAGCAGGGCTGTCTTGCCTTGCTTGGTGACTTGGTCAACTTTGGCATCCTTCTTGACCAAGCCCTGCACAGTTGTCAAATGGCCTTCAGATGCTGCCCACATCAAAGCCGTCTGGTGATGTTGATCCAGCTGGTTGACTTTGGCACCTTCTCCAATGAGAAATCCACAGACATCCCAATGTCCATTTGCGGCCGCCTTCATCAATGCCGTTTCTCCCTTTTCTGTGGCGTAGTCTGCAGAGATGCCAAAGTTGCTGACCAAGAGCTCGCAAATTTCGTAGTGTCCACTCAACGAAGCCCACATCAGCACATCCCAGCCTTCATCATCCTTGAGGTCCAAGGAAGCACCATCATCTGCAAGGATTTGCACCACATCACCTTCCCCTTGCTCTGCTGCTTTCATGATTGCTGTCCTTAGCAAGCACAGTCACCAGGTAAATGACGATCAAACTCAGCAATATATAGATTCAGCCACGTCTTTAAAAAATGTCTTTCCAACTTTGCGTTGCTCGAAGCGAACATTGCCACTCAAGGTCATGTTTGAGCTTTGAACCCAAGCTTGGCATGTACTCCCTCTGGATAGTCAATTCGCACTGCACACAAATACAAGTGCATGAGAAAAGTAATCCACCACCGCCAATGATACAGAGGGCAAAACAGAGAAAGATCAGGAGGAGGAAGGAGGAAGAGGATTGGTACACAGAAGAGCATAAAAACGTTGACAAGGACAAAGTCCATAGCAATAGCAGCTACATCAGCATAGCAGCAGAAAAAGAATATAATATTGTTTTCCCTGCATACAGAAGCGTAAGCAGCACGAGTAGAGAAGCAGCGAAACTGAAGTAGGAGCAGGAGCAGGACCAGGACCAGGACCAGCAGCAGCAGCAGCACCAGCAGCAACCACAAGCACCACAAGCACCACGATAAATTTCAAGCATCAGAACAACCAAATAATAAAAAACACATAGGAAAAAATCAGCAAATGCAAAAGCTTAGGTCACTGAAATTGCAGCTCAGATTCACACCCTCGTCGTCTTTCATATCTAGGATCCTTTTCTTCTCTCGCATCAGAGACTGTTGTGCCTCGTCTTTACCACTTGTGAGAGAAGGTCCTTTTTTTCGTTGTGCCGCTTGAGCGTCAACGAGGAACTTTATGATGTCTGTATGGCCTTCTTTACCTCAGCAGTATGTCTTCACTGGCCAAATGCGTTCATCAAACAATCCTTTCATTGCAGAGAGTTTTAGCCTCTAGACTCTAGACAACTTTGGAGGAAAATGTGCTTAAGTGCAAACCAGAATGCAAGCTTTCATCAAGGCAGTTTCCCCCATGTCATCTTTGGCGGAAATGCGCGCTCCCTTTTCGACCAAGAACTGCACAACTTGTATGTAGCCACCTGATGCTGCATGCATCAAAGCATTGACTCCTTCAGGGTCTTTCTGGTCGACTTTCACTTTCTTGTCTTCCAAAGCTTTGCTGCAACCTTCCACCTGGCCCGATTTGGCTGCCTCAATGAGAGGATAGACGGCTGTAGTGCTGGTTTTGCCCTGGTTGCTCTTCAGAGCTGCCAGCAAGTTACTGGTCATTTGCACAGGACTAGCTCGGAAGCCTACAGCACGAAGAAAAACTGGTTCAACCAGTAGAGACGGAACCCTTAAGCCAGAAAAGTCGGCAGCAGGTTGGTTTTGCACTCACAGTGGTATATATTTAGAAAAAAGGATAAGGCGCACAAAGGAGGCAAGCAGTCGCCCAAGTATCTAAAGAAAGGAAAGCCTTCTGACAGTCGCCAAGGACATTCTCAAGCCTTCCTTTGAACATCTTTGAACCATGCATGGAAAATCATGGAAACTGGATTCCTTCAGAGACTAGAACTGGACAATCCATTAAGCCAGACCGTGTCAGTGTCAAGCAGCTGCACTCCAAGATCAGGACTGTTCTGCTTCTGTGGCCAGCCTGCGCTGTTCGTTTCGAACCAGGTGTCATGATGTGTCATGTAGTTTTTCATCAGTTGCGAGTTGGATGAAGCAATGTCTAGTTTTTTACACTGAGTGCCAACATCACCTCAGTGAAGCAAAATCAGGCTCAATCTTGGAGCACCATCTCTCCAACCTCCTAGAATCTGCGAGGACACGGAACCCAGAATTCCTCTCCTGAACACCGTTGTCTCATGGACGTCCGGGTTGGGAAGACCCTCTTCTTCCGACATCTCAACACCTAAACACAAAAGGAATGTGACTTTCTCGGTGCATCTCTGGAGCGCTGCAAAGAACAAAATCGTTGTACCACGAGCTTATATAATCAAAAGCAAAAAAGTGAGTTACAGGTTCTTGAAGTCTGTGTCTAGGCATCTGAGGATGGCAAGGCATAACGAGAATTCAGCTTTGAATGGCGTTCAAAACAGAATGAGAAATTAGAATAAGTTCTTTGCTGAGATCTTTGCTCTGGCACACCAGCCACACTCCTTGGGAAGGCGAAACAGACCCAGTCAAATAGACATCTTAATCGTTGATTGTTTGCACCAAGTTGCCAAGACTAAAAAAAAAGTGCAGAATTAATATAACTTGATCCAAAATCTGATCTGTGCATTTTTGGAGAGACCCTGGATGTCCCTGGCATCCAATGAAATCATATCTGTCTTCTTTTAATCATGTGGAGCCTGGGTAGATGATCCTTGGGCCGCTGCATATCATGATCTTCAGCCCCTCATGAACTGTAGAAATAGAACCTCATAGGGCAGGAGTTGAGGAAACCTGAAACAGCCCTGGAATCAACGAGCATTTAACTAAAACTAAAACTGAAACAAGCAAAATAGTGCACCCGAAGGGCCTGTGGGGAGATCCCGAAATTGTGGTACTTTTACAGGATGGGATTTTGAGCAGTGGAGCATCAAGCCTGTTGAAAACCATGGCCCTGAACAGGACGTACAAAGTCAACTGGTCGCACCCATCTAAGCTTTTGCAAAGGCAAAGCAGATTGAGTGCAATGTTCAAGGCTATTCTACCGAGTCTTGAAAGGTCAGCGGAGACCTGATGATGTTACCGCATTAAATCCGTTCTCTGAAACTACGTTCATCACATTTGTTTCCTGCTCTATCTTTTCCAAGAGATCTTTTAATGCATCAAACGGCCTTTTGTGGGCTCCTAGAATCTTGCAACCCCGAGACTCCTTGATATTGATTTTCATGTTGTGATTCGTTTGCAGAAAATGACTAAACATGTTTTTCAAAAAAAAGTCTGGAACAGAGCTTGTGACGATGGCCGTGCTACCTTGAGCACTAAAACATCAGTAGTCAGAGAAACCCTCAACTCCTTGCACCGTTCCAGGAACAACTGGCAGCAGGGATAATTACAGTAATTATGCTTGCAGTTTAAGTATTTGTTCCTCTTTGCGGCTGATTCTGCACCGTTAGCAAGGTCCCTTTCTCAAAGCTTGAATAAGTCGGAATGAGTCGGAATGAGACGGTTACAATTTGAAATCCGATTCGACGCTTCGAATCAGGTTCTGTTCGTATCGTGTCCTAAAGCCCTGGGCCGTAGCCGGGTGGAATCACCTCAGCCAGGCCAGGCTCTGGATCTGGGGGTGCCTGAGCAAGTCAGCTTGAGAACATCTGAGAACTCTGAGAACCCAATAAGGATCAATAAGGTCAATCCAGGGGTCAATCTTGCAACTCTCTCTCTCCATTTAATCTGAATGGAGAGAATGTACAGTACAGGAGGGCTTAACGGTGCTTGAACACCTTTCTTTAACTCTTGAAGACTGAAATGCAGCATCGCCTGGGTTGATGCCTCTTGAACAAATGCAGGATCCTTTCTCAGGAAATCGGCCGCGTACCTGAATGCCAGGATTCCAAAATCTTGCGGCTCGGCAGGAGATATGCCACATAAAGCAGCTCGATTGCTGAGCCTCCAACATCAAGGCTCTTTTACTTTGTCTTGCCGCAGTCTTGACCACATCGCGGTCACCCTTGAGTTCCTGGTAAGACTAAGACAAATCTGCAACACCACAGGAAAACCAGGAGCTTCGGCAGCTTCGGAATTCACGCAGACTGACTTCACTGAAGCTCCAAGAGCATCGCAACAGCATCGCAACAGCATCGCAAAAGCATCGCAAAAGCATCGCAAACATCGTACGAGTGTAACATCGCCTCCGCAGCATAGCGTAACGCCATTCCGCGCTGCTGCACTGCTGCCAGTACCACATCACGATCCTCTCGTCAGCAATTCAGTGGACAAAGCTTCAAGACATCCCTTTTTCGGTGCACCCTTGCAATGTAGTGTGTGCTACACTTGTGCGCGCCTGCTGCCAAATCACTCGAATTGTCTAAGATCCTAAACATCCTGCCATATCTTCTATTGGCTTATCTGTGGCCAGACGTTGGAAACCTACCATTTTGGTAATTATATCCGCCAACATCAACCCATGATTGATATTCAAAGTTCTTCTGACGCAGTAATGTGACGCAATTTGACATCTATACGTTACCGATCTTTAAGGTTCTGAATTGCCAGGCGCTATGCTCGTTTCTGTTCAGATCCACTCCTCAATTCCTTGGCCAAGTAATTGGATTCGGCTCAGCAGAGTTACAGTGGCAACATGTGGCAACACAACCTTGGAGCTTGGAGGAACTATTCCCTAATGTTCCTTACAAAGATTCAAAAAGAATCGACATCTCCCACACTCCGACACAAGCCTTGCACCTTTGCACCATGCGCATGCCCTAAAAACCAGATTAGTCTTTATGCACATACAACTTCAAATGTCAACATCCCCCACCCTACCTGTACCGAAGCTGCTCCGCAGCATCCCAAACGTTTCCAACACAAGCAAGATTTGTTGGAAAGGAGACACCGTGGAATGTCAGTAGCATCCACTTACCTCACCCGAAAGCTATCAACCTCTTGTTGTTGGTCTGTTAGCTAATACGTAGAACGATATGAACTTGTGTGTTGTGTGGTAAAATGTCTCCAGGGATAAACATGACAGGGCCACGCGGCGGAGCTCCTGAACGGCACAATCAACGTGATGGAGCGTGATGGAGCCATGTCGCCGCATGCGAAACAGTGGGAGCCAAATCCGACCGGAACATGGCACTCAGATAGTACCAGATCTAGTACCGGCACTCAGGCGCCATGCTTCAATAGAAACGGCGCCTGTGAGGCGTAGGCCAAGGCTCCACCATTCTCCTTGACAGCTCGAAGGACAACCTGAGGAGGAATTGATGCTGGAATACAGTATCTGGATCGTTGAACCACATTATGCACATGTGGTCCACATGCCAATTTCCAAACTAGAATTCACAAATATTCACAACCTGTAATCTTAGAATTGGAGTCCTGCACATTCAATATTCAGCAACACAGCACCCAAAAGCCCTTGTGTGGTCATGACACTCACGACGTGCCCATGCCAGCTCCAACCTCTTTGTCCGCCTGAAGCACATCTGAAGCCCACCTTCAGCACAAAAATGACGCCGCTTTACTGATAAAAAACAAAACAGAGTTGGCGGCTGCTGCATGGTCTTCCCTTGGTCTTGCCTTGATATTGTCAAGCTGAAAATTGCTGAGGCTATTGGCAAGCAGCACAAGCAGCTGAGGGGAGCGCATAAGGGCTGTCCCATTTTTGGACACAGCACACATCACAACCTGCCAGACCATCTTTGCAAAATGCTTTTAGAGCCTACAAATAACATTGTGAATATTGTGAATTCATGACACAAGTTTGGGATGCTTAGGATTGAAAAGGCCTCCCAGTCATCGTTAAAGTCTGGCGCATGTTGCAAAGCCAGTCCTCGGGCACCCACAAAAAAGCGGCTGTGTTGGTTCCTGATTTTGCAAACGTTTTTGCCACAAAGTTCAAATCGAGGAAGCAGTAATCCGCAGTGTCCTAAGTCCTAAAGAAAACAAAGAAAAAGATTCCAAAGCGCAAAGTCTCTCTTGGAGCAGGTCTGTATCAATTCCAAGTCAAAGTCACCTCTCCACAGCAAACGTATACATTCAAGCGACATTTAAGTGACTAGTTTTTCACATAAAACTTGGATTTTCGCCGTTTGCCCAACATGCTTCTGCGACCAACTCTCTATCGGAGCCTCATGGGCTGCACAGGTTTGGTATTTGTTCGATAGTGGCTGGTTCTTTAACCAGATTGCAAAACGCCGACATGTCATGAGCGCTTCCAGTAGAAACAAACCACTTCTAAAAATGTCAAAGATGCGAGGAGGTTTTGCATGACAGCCCACATCTACGAAGCTGCAATCCAAGCAGAAGGGTTGGACTCCTTTTCTCCTTTCATTCTCGCGCACCCCTGCGGAATGAAATGCCAAACACTTAATCTGTCTCAAGAAAACCAAATCGTTAGCAATGCTGGCAACATTCACCGCCCACCATACATCGTATACATTCTCTTGACACGTTTACTTGAGAGCAGAAGAGAGGAAAGGCTCTCAACTTGCCCAGAGCTCACGCTCCAGACGGCAAGTTCTGCCGTGAATTGTGCAGTTACAAGTCATTCATGCTGCAAAATGGTGCTGAGTACTTGCGATTTTTACCCCAAGTGCAGTTGCCTGAAGCTCAATGTCACATGCAAATATGAAATTGAAACAAAAGATCTGGATTTGGTTCAACTACAGTTGAAAACTAGAGTTTCACCTGCACAGGCTAGTGCTGGAATAAGCACCAGACACATGTTGTCAGCAGCTCTCCATAGTTATGTATCCCATGCATATATATATATATATAACAATTAGAATACACAAAAACACCCACACACTAGACAAGAAATGGATCATTGTAGTGATCCGTTGGGAACTGAATCCCATAACGTGCAATTAGACAAGAAAAAGGACCTAAGGTAGATCTCCTCGAAGCGGTATACTAATATATATGAAGGAATTCCGATAAAGTCAATCACGAACATAAACTAGTTCAAGTAGACCCCAAAATAGAATACCATCGATAAATAAGATCACGACCAGATTCTTGATGAAAAACACCCAGTAAACAGATCGTGGAAACCGTGCCAAAATAGTCGTAAAAATCTCCAGTCCGGTTCTTGGCTTAGCCGGTCGCCATACACAAGCAGTGATTGCAGACAATAATAAAATATCTGTCCGGTTCTGAGCTTAGCCGGTTGCTATAACGAGTGCAGGTACGTGCAATCTGCGTCCAGATTGCATATCACAGCAGACTTGGAGTGCTGATTGGGGTTTATCTATACGATGTTTCTTAATGTTTCTTAAGGATTATCTGCAGTATGAGAAACAAAAAAAGAGGAAAAGGCAGAGAAGCAGAAAAGCAGGTAAGCAAAGAATTATAAGGGCAGAGAAGCAGGGAAAAGCAGAAAAACCAACAGCAGAAAAGCAGAAAAGCAATCAAGCAGGGAAACAAGAAATCAAAAAATATGCCCAAAACGGAAAAAAAATAGGCATCCTTTGTAAATACTGAATGTTGTGCATTGTTCAATGGGAAAAAGATAGTATGTGGCATGCCCGATGAGCTTCAAGACTCTGCCCTTTCACTGGTAGAAAAGGTTTCAATGCTGCAATCCTTTGCTTGAGCAATCTTCCGAAACCTTCTCAACTTGGAAAAACTTGCTGCGCACAGGTTCAGCCCGTGCAGCGTCAGAACAGCAAGCCTTGGAGTAAGTTGTCCAGGATCAACCAGACTCAATGCAAGAAAAGATAACAATAACAATTCCATTTGATTGTGACACGACCGCTCGATGACATCTTTCGCTCAGACTGTTCTGCATGTGGGCTTCATTTGTATAAATTAACTCCCACTGTTGCGTGCATTGATCTGGCCACATGTCCTGCGGGTTGTGTTTTCCCAAGTTTGTTGATTCCAGCCCATCCTTACACGACATAGCACCAGGTATGTATTTGTTGCAGTGTGACATCAAGTGTCATGAACGTTTAGATCCGTTTAGATCCCCTTGCAACTCAACCTTTTACCCAACCTCCCTTTGACACTCGCATCGTTGAAGATACCCCGCTCGGGATCATCCGCGGCTTGAATATTTCCCGCGACGCTCACAAGGGAAAAATCATGGCGTACGGCGGATGCATTTCATCCGCCGCAACAAAGCACGAAATCATCGAAATCTTAAGACTGTGGGTCCAGTCCAGTCAATCCACTGAGCACTTGGCAGTAACAGAACCTTTGGGAGTTGTGTCTGCTTCAGCGGCTATGTCTTCCCCATCCTTCACAGCCAAAAACTATCTACAAGTCGGTCCGCATGGCTGATGTTTTTCAGACAACGCGTACTTTATATTCAAGTCATACGAGTCATATTGCTTCATCCAGCCTGACTTTGAACTGAGACCACTCCATGAACTTCAGCCTTCCAGACTGCACTTGACGCAGAACTTGACACCGTTTATGCCACTTTGTGCCACACCGGTCTTAAGAGGTGTTTTTGTTTTTCTTCTGGCGTTCTTGGGCATTCCATGTGTTTCAAATATTTTCTCACCCTAGCCTGGCACGTGAGGCCAGCCGCACACAAAGCTGAGCGAAAGACAACTGCAGCACGGTGCCAGCTCTCCTCCAATGAAATACAATCGGATGCAAAAGCACCCAAAACTACCCAAACTCACTGTGTATCATTGCATAGTGAGTGCATTGCGTTTGAAAATGATTGAAGTAACATTGAAGTACTGTGTGACATCCTCAATGACTGCCTACTCTCTCTTCAGTCAGCCATCCAGCCTCATCATTCCAGAAGTGAGAAACACCTCAGGAGTGCAGTGGCATTTACATTTAGATCAGTGAGAACCGATCGCATTCTCTCCACTGATGAATGCATCATAATCAAAGTGAACGAAATGTCTCAACACATCACACCCGGTCAACACCCCACCCCATAACACACAACATACATCACAATGCCGCAAATGCCCGATTCCTTGATCGCCACGGCACCAGATGGATGTGGCAACACCAGGAAACGCACACCATCCGTCTCCTCCGTCCAGGGCACGCTTCGGTCCAGGTTCAGTCCAAATGCGGCAGCAACGAGGCGACCGCAAAGGACCACCACCTCATGGGCTCACATGGGCCCCAACATGGGCTCACATGGACAGCTTACAGCGACCTTTGCAAAAGGTCAGTTTCAAGTTCAACTCGGTACTGATCCAAAGTGGAGCACCAAGATCTTGGTGTAAGATTTCAAAACATTCCACAACTATGAGACTCTGAACTTATCGACCCTTTTGCCTTTCGTATATGCAATTGCGCAACACGCAGGATTATCAGGATTGGCCAGGACTCCGCACAGCATATCGTTCCAGTCCACCAAAACGTCGCAGGCGGGCTGCCACAAGTCGTGCTGTGGGTAGCGGGAAACGATGACCATCACAGCGGTGCTTCCGATATCCAGCGCTCCACAGGTGATATGACCTCAGGCGATACGTCAGGTACGACCTGATCCGACGGAGAAATCAAAGCTGTGCAGCTGCGCACGGCTGCGCACGGCTGCGCATAGAACACCACCTTCCGCAAAGCCTTCATTAAAAAAAACACTGTTATGTTTACATTCCTTCAAATGGAAGACAGATATGCACACATTTCTTTGAAAAAACACTGCTTATCCAATGTTCTCCGTTTCAAGTTTGAACAATCCCTTTGCAAATATGTGGGATGTCAAGAGGCACCAGAGAGAAGAAGCTTTGAATAGATCTCAACACATGTCAAATCTGTGTTTAATTTCAGGCTTGGAAACCGTCATGAATGCAGAAAGCTGATTTTGAAAAAACAAAAAACATTGCCTCCGAGAAACTTTCTATCTTTTTTTCCAGGACACCAACCTGACACTGTGAGGCAACGAACAAGAAATCACCATGGGACTGGATTACAAGCAAAAACATGCCAAAATTGAAATCCATAAAATCCATGGAACTTCACCTAGGAACCAAGAAGGTCCAAGCGGTCAAATAAAGTCCACAGCTCATCGAGGCTCAGCCCAGCAAGCCGAGCCAGTCGTTTTTCCGGCTGTCCTCGCAAGGCCGTGGAAAAAACCATGGAAACTCAGGCACTGCCAGCAGTGCCTCTGGACTAGCGACACAGGAGACAAACTGAAAAAAACAACAATAAAGATCACTATGGATGCAAAAAACATCTAGTCAACAGAGATGCTGCACCATGACCTCATCCGCAAACTCACCTTGATTTGCGGAAGATTGATCGAAAGTGTTTTTCTTCAAGTTGGGACGAAAAAAGATGTTACCCGAACTTTGTCTGGAGTTGTGTGCAATTCTACTCTTGCTTTGCGGGTTGCATCTCTACAGACCTTCCTAACTTAGGAGCCCCTTTTCACCTTATCCTCATCCTTCCTCTCCTCCGTCTCCTCCGACTCCTTCTCCTTCTGCTTCTCCTTCTCCTTCTCCTTCTCTTTCTCCTCCTCCTCCTGCTCCTTTTCCTTCTCCTCTTCCTCTTCCGCTTCTTCTTATTATTCTTCTTCCTCTTCCTCTTCTTCTTATTCTTGCTCCTCCTCCTCTTCCTCCTTCTTCTTCTTCTTCTTCTTCCTCTTCCTCTTCCTCTTCCTCTTCTTCTTCTTCTTCTTCTTATTTTCTTCTTCTTCTTCATCTTCTTCATCTTCTTCATCTTCTTCTTCTTCATCTTCTTCTTCTTCTTCTTCGTCTTCTTCTTCTTCTTCTTTTTATTCTTTTTTTTCTTCTTATTTTTATGTTTATTTTTATTTTTCTTCTTTTTATTGTTCTTCTTCCTCTTCTTTTTCTTGGTTTTCTCGCTTTTCTTCGTCATCGCCTATATAAGCACTCTCGGCACACATGGAAAAGCGGTGTTGCGAAAAACGAGCAGCACAAATATCAACAATTTTTTTTCTCAATCTCCGGTCGAAATTGATCGACGAGAAACAAAAGGGTCTGCCAACTTTTGGAAACCAGAAATGTTTTAATCCTGCTCATAAAATGGTGGCCTCCATCTGCAGTATTGCCACTGCTCCCGAATAGTTGTTTTACTTGAAAGAACGAAAATTCGAACCAACAATTACCGCAAATTGATGATTATTGATGATTATTGTGTATATGAATCTAAATAAAATCAAGTCCCATTTTTTCCTTTGAACGGATCTGTGTAACCAATGCATGCCAATGCATCAGAAAGTCCTTGTAGTGGTTTGTAGTCTGAGGACAAAAGTTCCTTTGTTTTCAAATTAATCAACACACAAAATACACACAGCTGCTCTGCAAACGGGTCAGTGAATTTGGCAACCGAGCAAAAAATCCACCTTGCAATTCGATAATTCGAAAATTGAATGTCTGGACTTGAACCTAGCCATGCATGTGTCAAGCGACATAAAATGACACATTGGGTTATTGTTTCCAAGGCGCGGGAGGCAAAGGTGGAGCTTGGCCAACCACCAAACCACGAGAAAGCCGGTCCATCAATGGCCATCAAATACGAGGTCCGCAACCCTTCCAGTTGATTCGATCTAAAAACAGTTCAATGGACCTGTTTCCAAATTATGTTTGATATGATCGAATTTTCCATGCAATAAAATGTGGATCTGCTCTTGCAAATTCCAAGCTGGCATAGAAACGACGCGAATGATCTTACACGTAGATGATACATGATACATGTTTGTGTTGATTCAAAAACCATACGTGATGGGTAAATTGAGCCAAAATGTCTGGAGTTTTTCATGTTCATTTGTTGCTGTTTTGATCCAACCGAATTGTTTGCCAAAACAACCCACTATCAAACACTGAGATACTGTCGGAAGTCTTGCGGCGCATTTTTCAGCGCAAGGCCATCCTGCCAGCTGTAGGAAGAAATGAAAAAAAAACATCGAGTTGAAATGAAATCATTGCCAGGAACCTCGTCGGTACACGTCAAAACTGCTATAACACCCAATTTTTGCACTGGCACGTGAGCCTGTTGAACAATCCGATACTGTTCTCGCCATTCTTCTGTGCGGTGTAGTGCCTTGTCTGTCACGTGCAATTCACGAATGCACTTCATTGAATTTGACTCCAACAAATTATGATGCAAGTTCAATACAGCTGAATGGAAAGCAAGGGTGGAAAACCCTGATCATCACAAAGCCATCAGCTTCGATTGCACTCTGCCCTTCCAAAGCGCGCCATCCTCTTTTCTCCTGGAGTCAAACAAAGATCAAAATGTATGGAATTATGTTTTAAGGATTGTTTTTGGGGGATCATCCAATGCATATGGGCCGAGGCAGCTTGACGATCCTTGACGGCCAGTTCCGTTTGCGCCAACATTGCGCCGTTGTTTTCCAGTTCCTGCATCCGGTTGATTTATTTGGCTGGAAAGATGCATTCAACGCAAAAGTTTTGCGCAGACAAACAAAGTCTTCAGTGACAAAATGACAAGAAACGATAGAAACACTTCAGGACATGTGATTCACACGATGGCCTTCATTGCAAACAATGACAAATTCACCCGTTGCTGGCTCTACCATCTGGAATGCACGCATCACATTACTGAGATTATGAAAAAATACATTTGGAAATTGTGTTTGGGTTCGCTATCAATCCAACGACGCGCAGTCACAAACAAAATGATATCGTTTGACAATTGTTTGGTTCATTTTGAAACAACATGTTGTATCTGGGAAACATTCACCGTGAAAAACGTCCCAACCACTAACCACATATTTTCTTACATTTGCCGTTGGTCCCAAAAAAGGTACATGTATCATGTGTTCTATGTCCGAATTGAAAGTTGTGACCTGGTACATTTTATTTGTTATCCGTAAAAGAATGCGGAGTAACGATGAACCTGCGGAAACAGCGTCGTATTGCGGCCACAATTTTTGTTCATGAAAATTTGACCGGATAAACTCCGGTATGGATTTCCGATGGTTTGATTTAAAAAATTGTTGCTCGCCAATTCATCCAGTTTTGTTGTTTGCTGGTGTGGACTGTCAAATTTGGATTGCAAAAACAACATTGAAAAAGGTTTCCAACAACAGCCGTGCTGTGTAGCCCCACAAACACGCAATCTAAACGATTTTGCCAAATTTCCGACATATGGTTTCACCACAACTGGAACAACCGTGTTTGAACGTTTGGGTTTTGCATTTGCGAACTTTTCTGGAACCGAAAGCGCCTCAGAATTCATCCTGATGTACACTACTCGATTTGTGCTGTGTCATGTGCACAACTACATGACCAACATGCAAATGTACACAACTGCAAATGCGGAAATGACTTGCACCCCGCTTTAATGTTGGCTGTTTGCCAAGCATTACTATGGGTATGATTCCTCAGGTCAATTGTGTGACTTTCGTGTTTCCTCTGTTGGAACCTTTTCAAGGTGAAATCACCTATACTTCGAACTATTGGCACTGGAGCCACGCATTGGGCGTCGTTCCCAACAGGTGACACACTTCCTTGGTGCCTTTCCCTCTCAAACTTTCTCAGGACTCCATCTCTTTGTTTTCATCCCCGTCTGGCTCCGGCTCATGCTGGTCGGCCGGACCGTAGTTGACGTCGGCCCGGTAATCTGTGTCTGAAGTTTCTGACTGTCCGCACTGGGTGTATCTCCGTGCGCGCTGTGATTCGGTCTCTTCTGGCATACTCGCATCGGTGCTTGCCGGTTTGGCATCTCGCAGAGCTTCTCCCAATTCGCCCAAGAGTTTGCACATCTCCTCGAAGCGATCGTACTCCAGGAGACACATCATAGCTTTGAAGGCTTTGTCAGCCTCTGAAAGCGCGAGCTGTTTCTCGTCCTCCACAAGCCCATGTCGTGGAGATTCATCGTCACTCAAGTTGCTCACATCCCCAACAATGTCTGCCATACGAAGCTTCTCAGTTGGAGAACTGTCCGTGTAGTGGGCCTCGCAGCTGAGCAACCATGTCCTGCTCTGCATGTAGTGGAGACACTGTCTGTTGCTTCCCCGCCTTTGAGCTCTCTCCAGTCTTCCATTGATCCTTTTCAAGGCAACCAGTAGCATGCTTTCAACTGGAGGATCTTCGTGCACCTCGGGCTCTGCAGTCTCTGCTTGAACTGCAAGATCTGTTGGAGGGAAGATCACTGGCATGATTGGTTTGCGCAGCCAGTACCATGTGTATCCCCCCAAGGCCATTGTCCACAAAGTCAAAACCAGTGTCGTGAAAGAGACCATGTCACCTTCAGAAGTCTTCGGGTTCTCCATGTCGCAACCGCACAAGTTTGAGGTTGCTATCCCATGCACAAAAGCTGTTGCGATGGTTGTAGAAAGCCTCGAGTTCATGGCAACCTGGTGTCCTCCTGTGTTGATTGTAGGTGAATCTTCATCACTCGAAAGGTCGGTGATGTCCTCCAAGACTTGTTGAACTTGTTCTCGAGTCTCGGCTGTGGCTGTTTCGAGGAAGGCCAAGCCAACATATTAGACAAAATTCCTTGCCGGGCCAAGTACTGACTTGTCTTCAGCGGGTTCTGGTTCACCACTGCTTTTTCCAGCCTCCTCTCGCATCGATCATACAGCCACTGTATCATGCCCTCTTGAGACCATGCTGGGCAATCAGAAGAGGTCTCTGCGGCCTCGGAGCTGATGTCATAGGGATCATCTCCATGACTGCAGTTTGAAGCTGTCTCGGCAGTCACAAAGTCAAAACTTCTCAAAGGTTGTCCAGGCGAATGGCCAAATAGATGTAGCCAGCCAACCCAAGCAGCCATGTGAACAAAAACACGACGCTGAAATCCATCTGAAGCGTCACTGCGTCCATGGCACCGGAACAGCCTTGGAGCTGGGTCAGCACGCTCAAGGCGCTGAACAAAAGGTTGATTTGTTCTTGGCTGTAGCCCTGCTGCCTCAATGATTCTAGCCTTGCTGCGCTGAATCTTTTCGCGGCAATATCTGCAGGATTCAATGCTCCCATCACTGATCGGACAAGTAAACGTTTTTCCATGACAAGATCCTGCAGCCACAAAATTCTGCATGACAAATGCCTCAAACGACCTACTCCTCTGCGTGCAAGAACACCTCTGGCAGCTGATGAATCCAAATACAAACACATCATGAGTTGACATCGAAGAAGCCATCAAAAGATGGTTGTGATCAAGATCGCATCCATGGTGGCCGACGCAGCTGCATATGTTTCTGACTCTGCGCTCGAAAGTGACAGGATTTTCTGCGTCCTGGAGCTTGAATAAGCTAGACAGCCACCAAAGTAAATTGCAGCTCCTGAGACAGAGCGACGTGTCTCTCTGTCTGCTGCCCAATCAGCACCGCTGAAAATTTCCACCATCGGCTCTTCGTTCCATACTTTTTGAAAACACCAGCATGCAAACCTTTCCATTTCAAAGACATGCACTGGTCGGAGTGTGCTGCCATGTAGCCAACCAGGTGTTTCCACACCATCAAGGATTTCTCAGTTGGCTTTGAAAAGAAAATGGATAGGTATCGGATCACATACTGACATTGAGGCAGGTCAGCTGACAAGCAAAGAAGGATCCCCACGCATGTTCGATACATCGATGCATCCTGATGACCAAGCTCGGCAGAGCGATCAGGAATTTCCATTTCACTGTGTCCTAGGGTCTTCTGGCATTGGACTCTCTTGGACAGACGCAAGAGTTTGCACAGCTTATCAAGGTGTTTGTGGTGCACACGAATCACCATCCTGCCATCTTCCAACAGTTCATGGGTGCGTTTCAAAAAGGTGATTTCATCTCCAGGCTTTGACACGAGTTCGATGGAGATTGCATATTTCGACTGCAGTGAAGGCACAAGTTGTTTCATCACGGCATCTCGGCTGCCGACGATGAGCAAATCGTCAACATGGACCATCAAGAAGCAATCACCATGCTTGCTTCTGAGTATGCTGGGATGTGCGTCTAGCTCTGTCATCTCCAGTGAACACTCACTCCTAGGCCAACTTTGCCAAGTCTTTGTACCACCATCTCTCTGCCCGGGCAAGACACGGCCCAAGCTGTACTGCACAGAGTTTCCACTGGCATCTGTGCATGTCACTCGAGTGTCCACCTCTTGTTTCACAGTGGGAAGGGCGTCCTTGAAGTCAATTGATGCCATAATGCAGTCCTGGTGCTCTTTCATGGCCAAAAAGCAGATAGGAAGGATTCTCCTTGCCAAACTTGAAGTTGCCGGGGAGAAGAGTGATTCCATGTCCGGCTGCAGCCATGTGTACTCTCTTGCCACCAATCTGCTGCGACGAAGCCAGATTGCCTCGCCAGCTTCATTTTTTTTCTCTCTCCTCCATGTTCTGACAGACCTTGTGCTCAAAGTTTAGCAGTCCAGTGCCAAATTGTCGTCCTTCAGGACTTCAAGTCCAATCAGGCGTTGGACCTCAACTTGGTCTGCAAGCGCATCGAGCCTCTGTAGCTCTTCCTGTGGAAGCTCTGGCTCTTGTAGTGTGTAAGGGAAGCTAAGCTCTTTGAGGCATGCGCTAACGTCCACTTCGGCCTCGTACAAGGCGGTGCCCCCCCCAGTTGTAAATGGGTTATAATCCCATTAACTATAGATATAACACGTATAAACCATAGCTATTGGACTTATAAACCAACTTAGCTATCTATGGGGCACCACCTTGTAGGGGTCTTCATCCAAGTTCAACTCATGCTGAGTCAAAGCATGAACATCATCGGAGTGAAGAGGGATGTCAGGTTCAATGTCCAAGTGCTCGATATTGCGTATGGCACCTAAAAGACTGATACCACCAGAATCATCTCGTTTGCTGGCTTTCGCTGGACTCATCATATCTTCGATTGGCGTGTCATCCAGCACATCCAGCAAATGAAACCGGTGTTTGTGGAACCACATCACCATGAGGCAAATTGTCGCCATATCCAGAGAAATGCAAACGTTTGGCCTCTGCGCCAATGTCATCATGTTCAATTGTATGTTCGAAGGTCCACTAGACGAACCTTCAGCTTGTGCCATTCCAGAATCTGACCCTGCGCTTGATGCTGGGCCACCGCTTCCAGTCACTTCACCCGATGCAGCTGGAGTTGAAACTTCTGCATCAAGACTTGGTGGCATCCCCGCCTCGGCCGAAATGGCAGAGGGGTCAGCATCCTCAAAAGGGTGTGCACGAGCATAGTCCCTGACAGCTAATGCGTCTTTGCCGCCGAGCTTCAATGTTCCAACTGCGACCAAAAGGCTGTGACGCCCTCTGTACATAAACAAGACGATGACCAAGATTTGCATATCCACATTCCCAAGGTGAAGCTGTGGGATCACCCAACTGTTCCGGTTGAAAAGAAGTGGGAAGTCGGCTGATGCTTCTGGTGACAAAAATACCTGTTGCTGTTCCAATCACGTGGCAGTCATTCATCATGGTTTTTGTAAGCCATACGCCTTTGGACCATTTTGGAAGTCTTTTCAAGTCAGTTGAGGTAGCTCAGCACCGTTTCTCCAAAAAAGAGCGAGTTTTCCTGAGTAAATACGGCCTGTTGATCGCTCATATCCAGTTGTCTCCTTATTCACAGCAAAATGGTTGTGCAGCCAACTGCTGTGTACAACTGCCCATGCA